TGGTCGCTCGGGCGGGCTCGTGTCGCCTGGCCGATTTGAGTTGCAACTTCAGTCTTCGACAAATTTCAGTGTCGCAAAGAATATTCTCAAGATAATCAGCGACGAATACGAAGAAAATCGACGACTAATATGGAATGGATTCCAGGAGGTAAGCCGTTGAACTGCTAATGGCGATTCGATAATTTACTATTACTCCTTACAGCTTGAGAAATTTATGAATACCGGTTCAACAACCTATAGGGGGTTTTGTTACGTTGGAAGGGAGGTGAACCTTTGTGAACGAGAATGATCTGATGTTAGGGTCATAGATATCTCCCGATCTGAACTCTTCATATGTTACAAGTTATTTTATTTAACAGCTCACAAGGTTAAAAATAACTCCGTCGGCTAGGGTTTTTCGCCTTTTTCAGAGCCAAACATGGAAATCAATCAGAGATTTATCCGACCAAATGCCTCACTCCCTATGAGACCTTCGAGATCAATTAAATCATCGCACAGTTAATGAGTAGATAAGTTACCATACCCTAGGAGTAGTCAGGGCAATCAGCTCACCAAGACGGCAGTGTACCCCGCCTTGATCTGATCAGGATTCAAGGTTCTTCCTGTAGGTAATATTGTGAAAATATGAAAGTTTCCTAGGATTTTTTAGGATTTTTTTTAGGATTCGGAATTTTTCTTCAGTTTTTCGGTTCGATTTTTCAGATCTTAAGTTTACAAACTCCTAATCGAAAGTATGTTCTCCTGACTATTTGTAATACCGGCTCTTTGGCAACATCCTCATGGGGCACCGCCTTAGGTACAGTAAAGTTTTTAAAAAGATAGCGAAAAACCGATTACGTGAGGTTGTCTGTTTACTTATTAATATTTATTGTACAGGAGTGATACAGGCCTTGCATCAAGCCGACCTTGTGGAGATGGTATATGCTCTAGAAACTAGACCGTATAATCAGGTGAGATCGTTTTCGCCGAGCATTGCTTCTTGTGTCTTAGTCACAAATTCTGTACCCTTCGTTTAACTTTCGTAATTATTGTTAAAAGAAAAAGACCCTACAGGCCGAATACAATGGCTCTCATTGAGCTTTTTCACCTTTGTTCACATTTTTAATGTTAATAATTGGTATGGTACGTTGTGAGCGTAATGGTAACAGTGGCTGATAATTAAAAGCAGTACTCACTGCTTAATGTGTGGGAGAAAATGTTACACATGGGAATGACCTTGCTCGGGAGACTGAAGAAATGAATTGCAACTTTCTACAGCGAAAAGATGCCCCTCTAGGCGCGGAAATGGGCGCTAGACGTGTTGAGACACGCCTTTCATGTTGCGCTCCGCCCCCGAGTGATCACTATATGGCATTTCAAAATAGATCACTTAATCATTGATTGCTCCTGTCCTCTCTCGCTCACAGCTCTTCATCGCAAGGTCTGTTCTTCCCTTGTAACTTCTATGTTTTTGGAAACATTGACAAAAACCAAGCGCATATATCGCGGGTACTCTCTGTGGCTGTGTAAATTGCGGTTTCTCTCCATTTACGAGCCTTTAAGCATTTCCTTACGTTTTTCCCAGTAGTACCGAATGATCCTATCTGTATACTACATTGGAATGTTTGAAGGAGCGTCTTGTTTAGCAAAAACTCGAAACATGTACACAATTCAAATTCAAAAAGCGTTTCTGTTCATGGGTGCTGGTTTAGCTTGCCACCTTAGAGAAATCCCTTGCGAAGAGGAATGATGGAACGGTTGGGCTGATCAATCCCCCAAGGATTGAGTCGGCTCAAATTAGTTCTCGTAGCACTTCACGGATCCATAGATTTCTGGGGGAGCGTTCGTCCTGCCCATCCCTCAAATCTAGGTCACCCCACCCACTTCGTGCGCGGCGCAGCCCACTGCAATCGTGATATGACATTACAGTACCACTAAGTGTCAGTAGAGCGAATGATTAGCGCTGGTCCGTGTTGTCTTCTCTTTCATTCTGAACGCAAATCGTATGCCCGACTGACAACTGCGACATACGTCAAGAATCGCGGGTTGACGCGCCGCATGCGGCGTGACCTAGTTTCGATGGACGCGCGGAACGAAGCGCACCCGGTTTCCAGGTCGTCGGCCCGGAAATCTACGAATTAATAAAATGCAACGAGTGTTCTACTACGTGTTGATACCAACTAAGCATCCCCTGTGACAGACATTCCAGTACTAAACATGTAATTTTAAGGGAATTCGTCTGACCGCATCTGAACTTCGTGAGGCCAGAATACCGTTTAAGATAATTACTGATAATTCGGTGGCCTGGGTTATGCAAAGGTCAAGAGTGGATGCTATACTTGTTGGTAAGTTCAATTTAATAATTGTAAAAGTATGGAAATATGTTGACGGTCAATTCGGTAGTACCCACAACTCACTTTCTCGTAGTTTAATACTTATATAAAGTAGGTTGTAAATTTGAAAATTGAGCATTACCTTAGCTGGCCCTCTAGCTGCAGGTTGGGCTTACATCAAAAAGGAAGCTTTTGTG